GGAAGGGAAGGAAGGGAAGGGAAGGAAGGAAGGAAGGAAGGAAGGAAGGGAAGGAAGGACGGAAGGAAGGAAGGACGGAAGGAAGGAAGGACGGAAGGAAGGAAGGAAGGACGGAAGGAAGGAAGGAAGGAAGGAAGGAAGGAAAAGAGGAAGGAAAAGAGGAAGGAATGAACATAGTTGAAGGAAGGATGGAAGAGCCTGAAGGCGTGCCCGGAGAAGAACAAAGGAAGGTGAATGTTCCTTTGGGGCCGTCGCAGCCCACTGCAAGGGAAATCTCGGAACACGAGGCGAGTGGACACGCGGTCCACAGAAGCTGGTGCGTGCATTGCATCGAGGCAACGTGCAAAGCCATCCGACAACGGTTTGGGCAACAGCGTTGCCGCAGAAAGGGGTGACACCTTTCAGCACAAACTGGCTTTGTTCCATCGTGAGAGAAGCTGGGTGGAAACGTATGATATTATTCCCGGATAATGAACCAGCTCTTGTTGCGCTGAAGCAAGCAGTGGTTGAAAACATGAAAGATGTGGAGATCACCTTGAAGGAGTCTCCCACCTCTGTCGATGAAGAGAACGCGCCTAGCAATGGTTATGCTGAGTGTGCCGTTCGGGAAGTGAATCACCTTCGGCCTTAGGCTTCTAGCTGCCCCGTGAAAGGGCTGCAAGCGAGGTCGAAGACGTACACTCCACGCCGCACGTGGAGCTTCGTGGCGCTCTTCGGGTTGCCTTTGTGCTTTCGGAGCAACCACTTCATCCTAGCATCGAAATCCTTTCCAAACTCATTTCCTTTGGGAATAAGGTAGCCGCCGCCTTCTCCCAGCACGGCGTAGTGGGATCGGCAGATATCGGAAGCCGACCCAAGCACTCGATGCACATCGGCCAGGCGGCAACAAAGTGCGGCGCTGTTGCCGCTCGAGGTCGTGCCCTTGAGCCGAATAGGCCCATAGTCGGGTATGTTCTGGCCGCTCGCGGTCTTGAACTTCATCTCCTCTCGAGGCTTCTCGGTTCCACGGCCATACTTCGTTGGCACCACCGTCACGGCAGCACCGCTGTCGAAGTTCACCTCGACACGCTGGTCCTGGGAACCACGCTCCCGGCCACCGGACGCCGAAACGGTATTCGTCGTGGCCAAGCTCACCGCCACAGAGGCGATCGCTGCCCTACCCCCTGGAGGACTACCTTCGGGACTCTTCCAGTCCTCCCAGGAATCATCTTCTTCATCTTCCTCATCTTCATCTTCATCCTCCTCGGGTGCTTTCCTCTTCTCTCCTCTCTCTTCGCCCTTTGGCTTTCCTTTCTGCTTTCCTTTTCCCTTCTTCTTTTCTGCAAGCCGCTTTCTCCGCATAGCCCTTTTCTCGTTGATCTTCTTCCTCTTCTCTGGGTCGCGTGGCCTTTCCACCTTCCTTTCCCGTCGTGCCACCAAACTGGTGGCCGCACTCGGGTCGATCTCCTTGCCCTGGCTGTCGACCACAACCGTCTCCATTGCATCCACCTTTGCGGTGTCCTCCTTCCGACCGGGCCTCGTAGCAAAAGTGCTCTGCCCTTTCTTTCAGCGTCCTCCATCACCTTCTTCCTTTCTCTTCCCTCCAAGCCCTGGCGTGCTGAACGCCCTTGGCTATAGCAGCACGATACCTCGCATCGTGCGTGCTCTGGTCCAGCCCTCCGGCCACCACCTTCGGCGCAGCCTTGGGGCCCACTTGGACCAGAAACGGCTTCGGAGTCTTCTTCTTTTTTTCTTTCTTTCTTTTCTCTTCTGTCTTCTCTTCTTTCTTCCTTCCTTCCTTCCTTCCTTCCTTCCTTCCTTCCTTTCCTTTCCTTTCTTCTTCCAGGCCGCCTATCAGCAGCCCGTTCCCTCCTTTCCATTCCGGTTCCTCGGGCCAGTCTTCCCAGCCCTGGTCTTCGGCCCATTCGCCTTGCTCCCAGGAGGTTTCGTCTTGTCCGGCTTCTTCGTTCCATTCCTCCTGGTTGTCCCCAGCCGCTTCATCGAGGCTGTTGGTGTACTTTCCTTTGCCTTTTCCCTTTCCTTTCTTGCTCTTTCCTTTGCTTACTTTTGTGCGTTTCGGGCTTCCTTTGGGTCCCTTGCTTCCTTTGGGGTCCTTGCCTTTCCCAACAGATGAAACATCCATCGGGTCACCAGCGCTGTCCTTGCCGGCTGCCCGGGTCGTGGAGAACGCCTTTAGCGTCTTCCCCGTGCGATGCTCAAGGTATCTCGCGACTTCTTCCAGAAGATCAAACCCGGCAAACTTCGATAGGTTCAGTTGCACATGTGCCTCCAGGTCTTGTGGCAACATGGATTCCAACGCTGCGGTCTTGATCTCTTCCGGGATCTTGGTCCGATTCCTGCTCGCATTTTTTCTTTTCTCATACGACGCGATTGCTTCGAGCCATTCCTCGATAGCTTGAGGCAGGTGGTCCAGTTTCTGCTTCTGAGGGTTGATCACCGACTTCAGCATAGAGCGCTTCCTTGAAGCAGTCGCGGGATCGTACCTCCGAGCAAGCCTTTGCCAAGCTTCGAAGCCATTTGTGTTGCAGTTGATCACGATAGCAAACGGCTCTTCGCAGTCACCATCTGAAGTGCCGAAGATAGCTCCGTGGATTTTTCAAACAGGTTCGGAACACGATCTATCTCAGCCGCTCCCTCACCAAATGCATCGGTGAGCTCCGTTGTCGATATGCTCTTTTCGCGTTCTTCGCACCACTCAAGAACATCTCGCAGATTTAGGTAGATCGAGCAAACATACGCCGACATCCTGTGTCTCCACGGGAGAGATATTGCTCGGCATCTCCTGAATACGTGCTTGGCTTCCCAAGCCCTTTCGTGTCTAACAAAAACCCAACTTTCCTTTGTCACTCGCTGTGCTTTTCATGGCCTCCACAAGCTCTTTGTTTTGGCCTTTCAATGCATCCTGCAACGCTTGTCCATCTCGCGGACAACGTTCGTTATCGATCCTAGCTGCCCTTGCGCAGCTAAGGCCGCTTGCGTAGCCTCATTCACTCTCTGTTGGCTTTCTGCTCTCACTGCTCCAAGTCCTGACGGTCCGTGCTGCTGCGCTTGGCGTGTGAGCTCTTGCCTCAACGCCGCTAGTTCCTGCACTAGCTGCTCCGGTGTCGCCATCTTTTCTCTCTTCTACCTCCTCGGGCCAATTTCGCCCGAGTGGTTCAGTACTCCCGAAGATGGGTCCTCGAGAGCAATCTCGTGAAAGCTCGCGTGCTCAGCACAGCCTGGAGATGCAACCCCGAGTTGTTCCAGATGCGCTGCAGCCGCCGGATGCGCTGCAAACGCCGAACCAGCCGTGCCCAACGTTCCTGGGCGATCCTGCTGCTTCTTGCTCTGCGGCAGCAGGTTCCACACATTCAAAGCGACTTCAACCGAGCCGCTCAGCCACCATGAACGGAGATTTAGCTCTAGCTAATCAGTCAGCGCACTGTTTTCCAGGCTTGAGCCAAAAACGATTACTATACAGAGTGGAACATGCAATTGCATCCTATGCAAACTCCTACACCGAATCAGGGTTCAATCCATATCCTTATTATGAAAGAGCAAAGAACAAGCAACATTATACTATTTGTCTATAACGTTACCAGCCCCATCCAATATACTAAACGTTAGCCTTTCAACATTTCTCTTGGACACATTTATATAATCAAAATCTGTTCGTCCGTAACTGTCGCTGATAATAGCAGCAAATGGAGCATTGACACGCACGTTTTAACTATTGCGTTTGAGAAAGCAGAAGGGCTATGAGAATTACTATTATTACACAATTCGGGGCAGGAGATGTAAACATCAGGATAACTGATCAGGTTAATGAATCCAGTCGTCCAAGGCGATGATGAAGTAAAGGCGTCGCTGACTGTTGTAAAAAAACCCAAAACAATATTTGTGTGGTTTAGGTTGTCAAGATCAACAGTGTTTGAGAAGGAACCAACCAAAGGTGGCACATCTGCATCAGGCAAGGGTGTGAAGACGACTTCGCTACAACTAGACGATACAATAATTTGTTTGTTAAAGTGTCGTCTGCAGCAGAATATGAGTCGGTTCTTCCCGCGCTGTCAAAAAATGCTGTTTAGCTGTGCTTGTATTGCAGATGCTAGATCTGGGAGGGTGTAGTTTCCCACGGGTATTTCAATTCTTCTGTATCGTATGCCTTGGGGCGTAGCAGGTGGCAATGTTTGGTATCCAAAATATAGGTTCTGGTTGTTCGTGTTGACTGAACACCGCGCGTTGGGTACAGCCACCTCGTGCACTTGCATAATGGTATTGTCGGGTATTTCAAAGGTGTCTTGCAACTCTGGTTTAAAATCAGACGGTGATCTACTGTCAGAGACTCTGTATTGGGAATTCACACAGACTTTCTTATAAGTTAAGGGTCTGAAGCTCATATTAATAACAGATATATTAACTATATATAATGTATTAATATAGTGACAAAAATACAGTCTCAATTAGACAGAATGCTAATATCAATCGGTAAGATATCAAACTGTCAAGGTATTAAGATGGCTTACGATCGTGGCAATATGATTTTTGTTAAAGATAACAAGATGTATATAGGAGGAACAACGAGTTTCACAAACTGGCTGGAAAATTTTACTAAACTACCCTTTGGCGTTTTGGGTGGAGCTCGTGATATGGAGCGCTACATAGAGGCAGAACGAATATTAAAGGATAACCCACAAAGATAACCCACAAGAACAGACTTGGTCGGTCACAGTCAAGCGGGAGTGGTGGCCTTACAATGGGCAAAAGATTTTCCAAATAGGAACTTAAGTACCAAAACATATAACAGCCCCGTTTTGTCACTAGGCTTTGATCAACCATCGGAACAACACAAGTGGTTCAGAAAAGTGGGCGATGATGTGTCGGCGTTTGATGGGTCAGCGATTAATTACAATACGGATACTTTGAACCCAATGAAGAATCACGACATATCTTCACTAGACAATATAGATGAAAGTATTCCAGAAAGGGTTTTGTTTATTCTCCGTGATTATAATATGATGCTTAATTAACGTAAACATATAAAAGAACCACATAGAGTTGGGAAGCCATCGGAAAGCCAACGGTTCAAGAACAATTTGAATCAGAAGCTAAGTAATTCTGCTTACGAGAGCATACGAAATATAATTGAAGAAGGAGATAGTGTAGTATCACAACCTCGGTTAGATAAACAGAATAATGATAATTCCAAAAGCCATAAAAAAATATAATAAAAATACATCTATATAAAGTATTTAAGCATGGATTTGGTTTTAGCTGAGAGTCAAGACAATATTATCAAGTCACTTCAGTTCGGATTACCCGAATCTGCCGCTTATGTACCTGATCGTAAGCAAGTTCATTTTCCCAGCGTATCTGGAAACATGTTCTCAAGTAGTAACGGAAATACCTACTTAAAATTAGTCTTCACTGGGGAAGATGATAGTTACATTGATTTGTCTAGTTTTTGTTTATTCTTTGATGTTGTTAACACTTCCACGACTGCAGGTCAGTATTTACGACCTTTAGGCGAAAGTCACGCCTTCTTCACCAGATGCAGATGGCAGGTCAACAATTGAACGATATTGACAATTATAATCAAGTCTGTGAAGAAATGGAATCATTCAAAAGCGAAGAGGTGAGAAATTTAGATGATATTCAAGAAGGTTGTTTAACACGATACGACAGTAGAATTAACCGACTATTCGCTTGTAATATAGCAGCACACAATGCAACTGCAACAGCTGGGAAAAATCAAAGAGAAGTAGTTTTACCACAATCAAAACGAGTTAATGCTACAGGAATTGAACACGGTAAGTTCGTAAGAATGGGCCACAAACCTTGTTGTGGATTCGTTCAATCCGGATATTAACTGCCTACTCGTTGTTGCCCACTTGAACTTATTTTTGAAATTGTATCATATGCAGGTGAACCAGTTATAAAACCAGCTACACCAGTGGCATTAACACAAGCCGCAGACGATGAAAGCGGTTTATTCTTTACTACACGCAATACTACCACAAGTTGGGCAATTCAAAATGCCATGTTAAGATGTGAACTGATCCAAGTTGATAACACAGTTTATAACAACATACTGAAAGGAGGCCGCTGTAGAACGGATTATCCGGCTTATCATTCATTCTCTCAAACCTTCACGGCAGGAAATACAGAGATCAATATGAACATGGTTAAATCTTCAACTCGTGTCTCAGATGCTCTTCACCTTCAGCAACAGTAATACTGATGGTGATAACACATCAGGTAATTATGATAAGAAGAGGTGGAATTAATTTTTTTACCCTATGGCGGTAACCATTGACAATTTAGAAGGAGTGATTGATTCTGACAGGCAAATCTCGGCGCAAATACATTAATAAACAAGAAATTCCCAGAACAAGAAATATCAAGTATTGCTGAGTTTATGTATTTCCTTCGTCGCGTGGTTAATGTAATGAGCCCTTATTATGNNTTTAGCATTGACATTTACCGTTATGCGAATGATACATTCATTGGTGGTATTACCTTTGATAAACAGCCAAATATGAACTTTACCGGATCAAACACTCAGATGGGATCCTTTAAAATCCGAGGAGCCAACGCAAA